GGCAAAGTGCAGAGAAGAGCGTACAAGTCCTGTTTTGTGCCAGGCTGTTGCAGTAGCACTTATGAAACTCCGAAAACGATCTTCGTTCATGTCCCGAACAACATTACCCTGAGGAGATGATCGTCTGCAATAGCAGGAAGAGCTGATGCAAGTACTTTGAAATCCACTATCAAGTCGGTGCTATTGTTGTAATGATCACTGTGAGGTGAGATATTTTGTGCAAGGGCTGAGTGTAATGCCCAGGAAATGACCTCCATTCGCCCCCTGACCCGTCAGGGTTATAAAATTTGAGTGGATGGCGGTCCGTTTGGGGTTCAGATGTCAATTGTATTTTGTTACTGTCAAACAATACATGTTATGCTGGCAGCGAATGTGTGTAACGTCGTTTTTCGAAACAGAAGTTAGAACTGTAACGGCAGAGTGCTTGCTGGTCTCATCGTAAGTATTGTAAGTGTTGTAAGCAAAAGCATTGTCAATATTGTAAGTATTGTGAGCATTGATGTATGGTAGATATCACCTCACATGATCTCGGCTCAGATAACCCTCTCCGGTGTCCCTGTCAGTAAATGGCACCTGGATCATTACAGATAAGATAATTTGTCATAATTCTTAAAGAATTGGGTGGTTTTGACTCGTTTACTCGAGGTGCAGGTCGCATTTCAATACTTTTCCATAGGCTTGCAATGTAAAGGTCACGACTCTGACCTAACCTCAGGTCACAGATCAAAAATTCTGAGATATACAAACGACACATACTGCAGGTACTGTTTTGAAGACTTGATGATAGGAAATAACTTCGTGAAAAACTCAAGCTCTGACGTGTTTGCAAACTTTTCTGAGGTGGGGTCAACAAACCCGCTCTGGTTACCTGACCTGACCTGACCCGGCATTTTTTTTTTACTGAGATGTGCGCAATGAGCATTTAGGAAAAGTCACCAAATATGAGCTGAATGTCTCGCGGCGTTTGGCAATTGTACAAGAAAATCCTGAAAGGTTTCCCCGTCCGAAATAGGGTTAATGTGTATATGAAGAGTTGCAGATGCCAACCATACCCAGATTTAAGACTGCAGTTCCCAGCGCCGCTGCAACGTTTTTAAAACAAACATACATAGGACATACAAACATGTTTATTTGCACCTGTTTTGGATAATAGCAACTCATGGCGCCATCACCCGCGATAACTATTAGGATTTGAGATATATTTTTATTTAGGCCATTAGTTTGGCTGTAATGTTTATTAATATTAGTTGGGCGGAGTTTGGTAGTTTTTTATTTAACTTGTGGTATGTTGTGCTGATTGCGGGTTGTTCAAACCTTTCAAATGTAAGGACCTTATTGAACTCAACCCTACCCCTACACTACCCTACATACGACTGGACGCTTTCCAAGCCCACAAGCATCACGACGCCGAGATGGAATGTAGCCGAGAAATCACCCTCGCCATCTGCTCTAGAGCTAATCGTGTGGGGCGCCGCTTAGCCTATGGGGGTGCACTTCTAGTGGATGGGGGACGGGGGTGCACCTGCACCCCTTTCATATGGAAAGTTACTTCCCTGATTACAGCTCCCCGTATTGCACCTAATCAGGGAACGGCCAGCAAACGAAGGAACTATTTCTGGATGACAGGCGAATAACCGCTCACGCAAGGAGCGGAGCTCCGCCCCGTCCAAAGTGGCCAACAAAGCAGAGACAGAGGCAGCATCACATCTTCCATCAAAGAACTGGTTTCTGGCTTGGAAGATGAGCTCCATCTTTGCATCCGAGTCGGTGCTGTCAGGAATCAGCTGGTCTAATGGAGTGAGAGTAGTGAGACGACTAGCTATTGCATCAGAGCTGCCTGGTCTTCGTAGCATTTGCACCGATTCTTCTCGATCGGACTCTGAATTCTGTCCCTCCTGCGTATTACTTGAGGCATTGCTATGTAGCTAAGTCTTTGGCAGAGTTTCATTATCCATGCTTTGCAAACAGTGCCATAACAACGCAGTTAATTAATCACCAAGCTTCTTTGTAAGTTCCAATACAGTTGAATCGCACGCGATTTGAGTGCAAAAATCAAGAAAAGTGCCAACTTGTTCCCGTAAAATATTTTGAATATTGACCTAAAAAATGAGTAATTTCCAGATAAAATAACAGCGAAATCAGTTTTCGCTTGCCAATAAAACTCACAGATATTGAAGCTCCATTATTAAAGGAACATTTTAGTATATGCTATTCTTGATAAAACTTCTTAGCCACGCAATACCAGCGCAAAATAAAGAGACACTGAAAACACGACCAATCACTCCGATTTACCATAGGAAAATACATAGAAAATGTATGTCTCAACTGCGCCAAATATACAGACAGTTATATACCTACATGTGACGTCATGATTAGCCCGACCAATCAGAAGCAAGTTGTTTTCAGCCACAAATAATTAATTTCTGAACTAACTAGGCATTTTTTTAACAAAGTGATTTTAAATTAAATCATGAAAAATTCTGAGCTTTTTTATTTTACCAAAACATACAGAGCATGCAGATAGGTCCCAACCCTATTGCGCTTCTTCAGTTTCGGGGTAGGTACGCGTGATGCGATTTTAGCTGTTGGCACTCGCAATCTCCAGTGAAGTTTGTTTGGGACGCGAGGGGGAGAGCGGGTAAGTATTGCCAAAAATGGCTCGTGTTATGCAATGAAATTCGGCTAGCATAATAGAAATGATGATTGTGAAAACACCATGCAAAAACACCGGGCACTCAGACTCCATATGAATAATGACTGATTTCCGATGATCTTCAATGGAACCGGAACTTGCATCATCAAAGTTTGTTTGGAAACAATAATTTATTTTCCTGCGGTGTTTACTTTTGGCAACGTTGGTGGCCTATATGTAATATTACCGATGGTGCCTGAGCGATTCCTGCCGTTGTCTGCATTGGACTTTGTTTGACTTTGCGAACTTTTGTTTCGTGTCTTTGTTTCGTGCTCCGAATCGCGTTGGGATCCACGTTGTGTGGGTAGGCCGGAGCTGTTTGGGTTGTCTGAATATTGCCCGTAACTTTTATGGATATGGGACTTCCGGGCTGTTGCTTAGTCGACTTGCATTGTGTTGGCATGACTACGAAGTGCGTTTTCGATTGCTCCAGTCTTGTTCATCAAGGTCATCGTATACATCATACAACATGGCGTCCGGAGCTCCGAATCGCGTTGGGATCCACGTTGTATGTCGCACTATCACACTACGGTATTAATTAATCCTGGTCTCCGCGCATTGCCGTCCTCCTCCGATTGTCTAACCTGACCAGGCTGGACGTGACTGGGTTGTTTTGAGACAGGTTTGTCCAACCAAGGTCGGGGTGAGGGCCGATCTTGAGCCGCTCGCCCGGCGCTCGGTTGGTAGCCGCCCAACGCTCAACGCTCGACGCTCGACGCTCGACGCTCGGCTGTCGGGGAACGGCCGCGCTCAGCCACACACGTCCATGCCGGTCGTGCTGAGTCGGCACAGGCCGTGCCGTCGAACGGCGACGGACGGTCGAACCACAGAGCAGACTTCGAACGAACGCTATAAGGCACGATCGGCGACAGAGTCGGGCGCTGTGGCAAGATTGTGCTGCCTAGTGATCGTTGATGGTGCTTTCTTTCTAACCTTGCAGTATGTCATGGGTGATGTGTGCATCGGTGAAGAGGGTAGTTGATGACGGATGGTCACCGGTGTGATTTTAGCAATAGCTAAATTTATACGCTGATGAGACCTTCCACGGAGTGGCGAATTGCCTCAATGACGAGGTCGATTGAGACACTGCGATGATCTGCAGCTGAGTCGACTGGCAGCCGGTTCTGCTGAACGGTGGGCGGCCTGAGAGAGCGATCTAGTGTCGGCATTGCCCACCGTCCGGGGCCGAATGGTGTGGCCGCCTGTCTGTAATGGCTGCCCTGTGTCACCGTACGGCCGACCGCGGCGCCGCCGAGCGCCGATTTGCATGATATCAACTGCTATCCACTCGGTCTAATGGCCTAGAATGGAAACATAGACCTTATTATTCGACCTAATGGTGCCGGATATATTAAATAAGTTGACTGGTTAGCCAGACGTTATGAATGTCGAAAGAGGAGCTATTTAAAAAGCTGTCTCGCGTGGTGCTTCACATGTCACGCTCATTTTGAAAGGATAGGCAGTCACTTTGGTTTCAGAGTGGCGTCAATTAAAGCATGTCATTCAACGCCGCACGAAACTTCGGTCATTTTTTCACCGGCAAACAATTTTTGGGAGGTTGTGATTATGGCTGATTGTGAATTAACTCTACGGTTTTGAAATCAACCCACGCGTGTAACAGCGACTTACGCAAAGCACCTTACACATCAAAGCGCTAGCGCCACGCCACATAATAAGCACGCTATGGCAAAAAAAAAAGAAGGGAAAATGAAAGCATGTGAAAATCCAATTATCCTCAAAACGCTGCTTTACCACGAGTTGTGTGCATACATTTCACGCCTCTCGAACTTTCTTCCCTGGCGATTAGTGTGGGTAGAAACAAAAGCGAGAAATCTCACATATTCAACACAACTTTTCCGATGCCCACACAGGAAAGAGAGCGGTGGACATATAGCGCAGATTGGCCATGTTACGCTATAAAGGGTGACAAAAAATTACCATTGGCCCGGTAATCGAAGTTGAATTTTTATACTCGTATGCAACATTTGCTTGTTGCACGATGCTCTGACGGTTGTGTGTGTGTGCTGCCTACAGGTTTGAAAGTGTGCAGACTGTCGCACATTTTCTGATCTCTCGCCTTGCCACTGACAGTGTAAACTGGCGCACATTTTCTGACCTCTCTCGCCCCCGTCGCTGGGAGGTTGACGATCTGAGCTGGCGCACGTATTCCTATCTCCCCGGTCCCCATCCTGTCGCTAACAATGCAAACTGGCGCACACCTGACATCTCCCCGCCCTGCCCCCGCAGGTTTGATTGTGCGCGGACTGGCGCACCTTTCTGACCTCTCACTTACCCCTGTTACCCGCAGGTGTGGCGGCGAGCGGGGCGACGCAGCAGCCGTGGGTGCCCAAACCGCGGCTGGGTGACTCGGACGTGCCTCCAGCCAAAGTGGAGGTTCAGGTGGGAGGCACTGCCTTCCTGCCCTGCCCGGCCGCCAGCTCCGGTCACGACAGTCCGGTACGTATACTGCAGACAGTAATAAGTGGGGGAACTCAGCAGCTCTGTCGAGACACACTGCAGCAATAAGTGGCTGCGCATTGTGTACTACTTCAGTGGCTGTTTTGTATATCGTGCTGATAATTTTGTGATGGATGTCGTTCAGTTATTGCTTATTTTCCATGCCTTTCGTTGGTATGAGAGTTACTTATAGCTATAATGATATAGTTAATTACTAATATAATAAAATACTTATACTAATAACGAAGTTACGAGAGATTTACTAATACGGTTATAAGCATTGTTATAATTCACACCGCGCCGCTCCTTTGCATCTTTCCTTCGAGTATACTTTTTCACTTAACCATGCCGAGCGTTGCAATTGTGAAAACAACAGACAGAGGAGCTTATTCAATGAACTTGTATGATATGGACAAGCAAAGGTTAGACCTTGTCTCTGGATTCTCTTTTGTATTATCCTCTCTTTGTATCATATGACATATTTGGTGGGTGTTTTTATCGGATCTCGTGGCACAAAGACACATTGCAATGAGCCAGCGGAGCAGGTCTTCGGAGAGGATTTCTCTCGGATACAAGAGTGGGCGATTCGTAAATCAATGTTACTCAAAAGACTGCGGCTGAAGTCATAAAGCGTTTGGACGCTTTTGTTGCGAGAGTCATTGAAATTTGAAGGAGCGACCACAATAGCACTCGTCCCTTCTGAATTGTGGGGACATAAAACAATGAAAAGTATTATACTTTATCCCATCAAACAGACACGCTCAAGCCTGTGGCTTCCTGCTGCAGTGATTTAAGTCACAACTCGCAGTATGCTTTAGGTTAAGCACATTATAAAAAGTAAGCTTTTGATAATGGGTTACGGATGTCCATGGTACACGACACGTGCGGGAAACGTGAACTGGAAACAACCTAAACATTATATCAACTTTTATGTTTTGTTTTGAAATAACTTGTGGTATTCCCATACTCGTTCTCAACAGTCAATGCTCATTGAAAGTTATTTTTTTGAAAATGACTCTGCAGCGAACTGATGGAGATCTTATGGCTACTACATCAAACGCATAACTTTTGCATAGCCTCCTTTCTGTGCTGGGTTCGAGTTCCAAAACCAGTGCAACCTTTCACTTATCGTGGTCCATAACTCGGCATTTATTTGCTCATTTTTATAATCGCAATGTTTTCCAAAAGTTGGTATCCCATGTTCCCATGTTTTCTTTCTTCTTAGCAGTCCTCTTTGCTTCTTTGAACTTCTTGAGACTAGTTGTTACATCGAAAGTGTGCAGCCAGTCTGAAAGCCTGTCATATTGGTAATACATACTACCCGTTGCATATTGAATAGAGTAACTTGATATTGCATGCACAACCTTCGCTGGAAGTCGCGAGTCCTGTTCGCACTACGACGCAAACATCGTGAACCCAGGTCACTTTAATACCGTGGCCAATGACGCACGTTCCCCGGCTAAATTTCTCCGAGACGCACATCTCCTGGGTAACTACCGTCTCCGAAACTCACGTTTCCCGGCTAACTGTCGTCCCTGCCAGTCGATCCGAGGCAATTTCTCCAGCAGCGCGTCGGACCTTCTGCGCGAGTCAGCGGCTTAGCTCGGCTGTTGTACGAAAACCAATTTGTCAATGTGCCGGTAACGACCTCCGGTGCGGGAGCACGGTGTGCGGCAGTCGACGGCAGGTGCGCTGTGTGGTCTACCCGTCGGGCTGACGGGCTGTGGCGCAGCAGTGAGCTCCGGCGGAGTGCATTTCGTATAGGTATGCGGTGACACTTGAAGTCCTCTTACCATGGATTATGTGGTCTTCGATAAAAAATATTGATAGAACGTTTCAAGCATATATCAAAAATGAAGAAGCACCTGAGCGATATATTTCTTATTCCTTATCTTATATTCACATCGTTTTATGAATACTATACCTAGCTATCCCCACTTTTTGTGCGCTGTGCCATGAGAAGTGTCGGTTGAGATGGTGGCAGGCTGGTTCTGCCAGTTTCACCACTCCGGCCTGTGCTTTTTCCTTCCCTTGGTTCGAGTAACTGCCCGTGACCCTTCCCGTCCCGTCCTAGAACACCCTCTCCCTCTCTTGTTCAATCCCACCCTTTTCGCTTATCCATTCCCACCGGCCTCGCTTATTCCGTCCAACTCTGCGCATTCTGTCCCACCTCCCCCCTTGTTCCACGCGTCCACCTCTCTCCTTGTTCGGCGCGTCCACCTACCTCCCTTACCCTCCGTCCTGGCCCCGTCGTCCGCGCGCTGACCAGTCTCGGACCATTCACGTCGGCCGACCAGGGCCGACCGACCGATCGTTTGTTCCGGCCACGTCCATTTGTCGTCGGCTTTATTAGTCGTTGCGGGCCGTCTGAGATGTCCCTCCCCCGCGTCTGACGGAGCTCATCCCCCCGTGGACGTGCGCGTGAGGTGCGGCGCGTCCGTCTGCGTCCAGTGAGGATTAGGCTCTCCCCTGTCCTGTCGGCCGCGGACGCAGCTCCGTCCGGTGCGGAGCCCGGGGTCGGCTCTCGGTCATGGCTCCCAGGGGAGCAGGAATGGCCTCCGACCCGGCTCTGGGGTGGTGCGAACGGACGCCTCCTGGCGCCGGAGGCGGCCGGCGAGGGTAAATGATGATTTATTCGCGCATTGTTGAGACAGACGGGTATATGGGAATACCGGGAAGAGTGGGATAAGAAAGAGAAGGAGAGGTGGGTGATGAGGGGAATGAGGAACTAGCATTTAGGGTTGTGGTTATTGCATTTAGCCTTTAGGCTTATTTAGCCTTTTGGCCGAATGTGGTAGGGATATGAGGGAAGAGCATTGGTGGAATGCTAAAGAATGAATGGATTAAAAAAGTGCCTTTACAAACTCATATGCACCATATACACACGCGCTAGGTTGTGCCACAACAGCTATATGCATTGAATCAAGCATTTTGGTATTTACGTAACATATCCTATTGATCAAGTTGCGAGAACGGACGTCACTGGTACTTCAAAGGCTTGTGTGCCATATTATTAGAAATGGTGTAATTACTGGCCCGAACTTGAGCGGTATCTGTTTTATTGTTGAACTTTATAGCTTCGGGGCTGCTAAGGGTGTTGCAGGAATTCATAATAGCGCCCATCGAGTGGTGATGAAATTCAACCAGCAATATCAGGTTTGCAAGTTTAACGACAAGCTTAACATTCAATTAGGAAAGTTGTTCCCATGAAACGGCTACAGCGATGAGAGGAGATGAATTGAGCTCATCCCACAACATAGCCGCGCTCTCTGGCGATTTGATCATGTATAACGGCTGTTTTTTTGCAACGTATACACAATATTATTTTATATGCTTTTTGATTCATGCTTTGTTTGAAATGCTCTTTGGGCAGCAATTTAGTAATTATCTAAATGCTGGTCCTGTTAGAGACATTTTTACGATGCGTTGATGTTGCAATGCAATGAACTCACTGCTTACGTATACTACGGATGTTCACTCTCGTTTCTTTTGCCCGTCAAAAACGTCTTTTTTTTTGTTTATTGGGGCTTAAGGGCGCACCGACTAAAAAAAGCTCATTTTGCCCCCAAGAAAGTCTCTGGTCTGTCTTGCAACTGCATTTCTAAATTCATTAAACATGTATTTAATATTAAAAGGTACTTCTAATCCTAGTCTGTCATCAACCTACCGACTGAATAAGTAACCACGTATTGGTAAGTTAGGTAAGTTAATCCTAACGTATTTCTATCGTTAGATAAAAATTACCATATGCTTTTACATATGGTTCTATTTAGTACAGAAAAAGGGCAGTATGAAAACATGCCCCATATTGTCGCTACATGCTACGATTTGTTTCCTATAGCACAACATTGTTTTCAGCTCTTGTGTGGAAACCAAGGCCACAAACACGCGCATCCCTCCGCACACACATACACGCAAAACAAAAAGAAAAAAGAAGACAAGTATTATACAGTTCAACTGAAAGCACGGCCGATTGCTCTGGAACCAAGGGTATCGGCCTTGTAACTTTGGTATGGTGTGTGTCCATTTAGCGTGAGGTATGTCTGTTCGGCGCAATTACGTTTGTCCGTTTGGGGAAATGTGTTTCTGTGTAGGTGTGATCCGGCGATGGTTTGTCATGGTCCAGTGATGTTTTCTTGTGACCCGACGATGGTTTAGATCCATCCGATGATGGTTTAGTGTGATCCAGTAATGGTTCGGTGTGATCCAGTAATGGTTCGATGTGATCCGGTGATGGTTTGTTGTGACTCGGCGATGGTACAGCGGGACCCGGTGCTGGTTTGGTGTGATCCGGTGACGGTTTGCTGTGATCTGGTGATGTTGGTGTGATTCAGTGACGGTTCGGGAACGCCCCCGGCCCGGGGAGCGGACAGGTGGGCCGTCCCACCGCGGCACCTGGCCCGCGGCGCATTGATTTCCGGCAGCTCGAGGAATGGCCGGCCGCTACCGGCGGGTGGCCGGCCGCGTATCCAAACAGAGCGATGGATTTTCGCCGGCTTCCCGCCAAGATTTGGCCCTGACGGCGGTGGCATACACGGGCTAAACAAGCACTGCCTCGGCTTCCGCAGCATTCTGGGCCGGCTGAGGCTGAAATGTTCACTTTAGCAGGCGGGGCCGGCACAAAACAAGCTGGCGAACATTTAGATAGGCACAAGCCTTACTGATTTGAATTGATGAAGTTAAAACAACAGCTTTCAGTTTTCTGTTATTCAGGGGTGTTCATTCCTGCCTCAAGCTTTTTAATTTATTTTCTTCGCCGAAAAAGGCAAATAAGCAACACTTTTTTACCTTAAAAGGCTATACGTAATTTGGTCGTAAAACCCGAAAGGTGATCTGATTGGCAACGCTCTCCCTGCATATCCTAGCCAAACCGCCAATCGATAAGCGTCCAAAGCTGATGGCACTTCCTGTATCAGTTAGTTTGACAGTAAGCCGATTAAACGGCTTTGAGTGGATCAATGTAGGGTGACATCACAATCCAGCTAACAGGGCGCAGTGCAGTGTGAAACACCATTACGCCTATTACATGCCTCAATTCCTGTGAATTAAATTGTGTCGTCCGTGGTGTGTGAAAGACACGATTTTGTAGAGATTGTGTGAGCATGACCTTCAACGAAAGGAGTGGAAATGTTTTTGATGAAATTGGAACAGTTAAGTTGTACCTTTGTAAGACATGATAGGTGACATTGCACGCTTTTGAATATTTTCGAATGTCTGCCTCGGTGATGACAACTAATATGCTGAAGCATTCTGCATTGTAAGAATTAGTAGAGCACCCAGTCCGGCATAAAACTGCGACTTTATCTATTCATGAGATTGGGCCTGGTCACTGTTCAGGCTGTGCTGGCCACTGGTCACTGCTCCCCTGACTGACTGGGTTGTGATCGGTGCTCCCAGGTCTGGCTGGGTTGTGATCGGTGCTCCCAGGTCTGGCTGGGTTCTGATCGGTTGCTCCCTTGTCTGACTGAGTTCTAATCGACTTCCCCATGTCTGACTGGGTTATGATCTGCAGCTTGCTCCTTTGTCTGACTGAGCTCTGGTCTGCTGCTCCCTTGTCTGACTGAGTTTTAATCGACTGTCCCGTGTCTGACGGAATTCTGATCTGCTGCTCCCGTGCATGACTGGGTTCTGATCGGATGCTCCCGTGCCTGCTACAGGTGTGGATACGGCGCAAGGACTACCACATCCTGACCGGCGGCAAGGCCAACTACATCACCGACCAGCGCTTCCAGGTGCTGTTCAACCACGCCAACCAGGACTGGTCGCTGCAGATCAAGTTCGTCACTATGACCGATAACGGAACGTACGAGTGCCAGGTATGTTCAACAATTGAAGCTTGCAGAGGGTCAGGTATGTGCGGCAATGACTTGCCGGCCAGGTGCGGTGTGCGCTCTGTTAGGTTATTGTCTTACCTTGATTCTTACTACTACATCTCGAGCTTTTCACCATATTGACCTGTTGTTTCGTTTCAGCTAACAAAGTGCTAAATTTGAATTGATCGTTTCATACGTTTTCTTTGTATTAAAATTCATCTGCTCGACATGTGCTTTTGTCGTTCAATTACTTATATGAAGAGATGAAATGTTGCAAACTAAAATGTAGTAAGTGACCAAAATTTGTATTATACATACAATACAATACAATGAGAAATGAGAATGATCCACTTAGCTCTCCCGAATGCATCTGCTCGGTGAAGTTAGCTATCGTTTCCCGTTTTCCCACTCCGATCCTAATGCTCTCACCAAGGCCTGCAGAAACGGCTTCAGTTCATCAAAGGAACTTTCCGCGAAGTGCATAATTACCCCCGGCTCTAAAGTGGCGCCCTGGGACGCTGAGGAAGTGTGAAGTGGCTGGAGGGCCATAGATCGGTGACGAACTATAGCGGTGTGGTGTGTGTTTCAGTAATGTTTTCATACATGGAGGCACAGGGGAAGTAAAATACAACACATGTGCGTCGGGCTATATTGAAGAATGTACATAGTCGGCCTGAGTATCGAATTTTATATTTTATGTCAGAAGCGGGAGGCTTATCATCTACGCGTCTGAAGTCATTCTGCAACAGTCATGTACCATTCACCTCATATCAGCCATCGGTGTTTATCTTCAACTGCCAACTGAGCGGTATTTCGGAGAAGTTCGCTCTGCCCCGCTGCCAGCAGCTCCGCCCACGCAGCCGCCGCAGGCTCTATTCAGCTCACCCTGGAGGTTATGACACGCGCCGACCTATATACCCGCGACACGTGCCACGAGCAGAGCGCTGGGAGTGGCCGGTCGTACCTCCGTCGTCACCGTCGCTCCGTCCGTCGGTCTCGGTTCTGCACTGCTCCCGACCAGCCGCCTTCTGTTTGTTTATTTTTATATATCTGACAGCATGAGGTCGGGTTCAATCAGTAACTCAGATGCCCGATTTCAGAACCAGTTTGGTAGAGCGTATAAGAATCATTTCGGTGAGGTAACTCTTCGTTGAGTCCTTTCATATTTATAGCATTCGTTTATATGTTCTGAAATTGAGCGTATATGTGCTTGCATACCTTCCAAAAGGAAAACGCTTTTCTTTCATTTCATATTCGTTTTAGAGGACATTCACAGAGGCAAACATATTTGTTAACGAATAAATTTCTTTCGAATCTGTGCAAGTAAACGTACTGAAAATGATTATGGGGACCAGATTTATGCATCCAGCTTTTCGGCCTTATGGTAACTGCAGGCACAGAAACCACCGACAGTCTGACACATCTAACGCAATGTATTTATCCCCCGAGCTCAAGATCAGGTTACGAAAGCGGGTCGAATTAGAAGAATATTGCCTTTCATACCAATTTCAGTATTCATCGCAATATAGTTTCTGTATTTCTGTATTTGCGCAAATCACCAACAGGCTTGGCCCAATGACAGGTGAAGTCATATAAGTATATCACACCAAACACACTGTAAAAATAATGATCTGTTCTAAGTACAGAAGACTATAGAAGTAAAAGTAAAAGTACCTATAGTGTAAAAAAGACTATAAAGGCAGAGTGTAAATGACTACGAAGGCATAACAGATAAATAGTACCTACTATAGAACTACATACGATATACATAAACATTAAAACACTGTATAAGATACTGAAAGTACTGAATATCTACCTACCTAAAAATAAAGCATTAGTGATGTATGATGTGCACAAGATAAAAAGCTTAAACATCACAAGCTAATTTTTACACGACAGGAGGAAGGGTTGACACATACAGCACGCTCTGCCTCTTCAACTGACCAAGTGAATCGAAAAATAAGTCTGCTGTTTCAACAGACCCTAGAAAGTGGTTGACAGTGCGTGGGATGCGCGAGAACAAGCCGGATGATACAGTGTTCACTCGAGCAAACGGCAGACTAAACAATGCTCTGTTCATGGTTCTGGCTTGTCTGATCGGTACCTGTAACCCAAAACACTGTAATAAAAACGACGAAGAGATGAAACCTTTAAACACTTTGGATAAAAACATGACATCATGCTGTGCTCGCCGAGCACCCAAGTGGAGCACACCGTAAGATGCCAGTAGATCACAGTAGGCCAGAGAGGCTCCGACATAGCCCGTACGACGCGCAAGCCACATTAAAAACTTATGTTGCACTCTCTCCACACGAACTAGATGGCATCTGGCTGCACCGCCCCATATGATTGAACAGTATTCAAGAATCGATCGGACGTTTGCATTGTAAGCCGCCAGAGCCGCCTGCTTGTCTATCTTGCACCGGGGGGAGGCTGACTGGAAAGTGCGAATGATAAGTCCTAAAGCCCTATTGGCTTTCGAGACAATTGAACCCACATGTTCAGCAAAGTCCAGCTTTTGGTCAAGAATAACTCCTAAATCTAATAAATAAATCTAATAAATCTAATCTCTCTAAATCTAATAAATCTAATCTCCGCTACGAGCCTATCCCGTGCGAGTGGACGTGTGATTGTCGATCTGAGTGATTGAGGACTGTGTCGCACCCGTGGTGCAATTGATTGCCGTGACGCTCCAAGCCTCGAGATTCGCCTAGGCTGTGTCTGGACCCGTCGGGCTGGGCCCGTCTCTAACCCGTGGAACCTGCCGCTGCTACCATGCTCCGGCCAGGGGCCGCACTCACCGTGACCTGCTCAAGTGGGTCGTCGTGCTGGCCTGCGTCGGCGCCGTCCTGCGAGTCGTCGCGCCCGCCTCTCCGCCACCTTCATCACGTGCGCCCGTCGGGCTGCGCTCTGTGGCGCCGGCCGCCGCGCGTGACCTTGAACCGGTCCGTGGCCGTGCGTCAGCTGACTACGTGCCCGGTGCTGGGTCGGCCGTGCCGCACGGACGATCAGCTGAGCCCGATGGGGGCGGGCGGCGGCGGGCGAGGCGTGGCAGGCGCGCGCCCGGCGCTCGGCGTCGGGGGTGCAGGGGTGGCCGCGCTCGGGACGGCCGGGCCTCGGCTACGGCGGGCGCCTCACTTACCGTGGGACTTCTGAACATTCAGTCCCTGAAGCCCAAGATACCTGACCTGACCGATGAACTTCACCGCGGCTCCTACGACCTTATGGCCTTGAACGAGTCCTGGCTCAAACCGGCTACGCCTAGCAGACTACTAGTCCTGCCCGGCTACCGACTCTTCCGAGCCGACAGGCCGGACGGCAGCGGCTACGGCGGGGTCGCGCTGGCTGCCCGGGACAGCATCAGTGCCTCTCCCCTCAAGGTCACCACCCAGCCGGTCCCCAACAGCAGGCTGGAGACCTTGTGGGTGATGGTGAGGCCCGATCACCGACGCAAGTTTGTCCTGGGCACCGTCTACCGCCCTCCGAGACGCAGCGTGGCGGACCTGGAGGCCGACTTCTCCGACCTGGAGGCCCAGTACCAGCGAATCACCATCGACCATCCATCAACCAATATTTTAGTCTGCGGTGATTTTAACTGTGACCTTTTCAAGCCTCCCACTGACCCAGCTAAACGTACACTGTCTGATTTTTTATCGATGTACTCGCTCACTCAATTTGTTAAAGCTCCGACGTTTACCTCTGGTTCACTACTTGACATTTTTATATCGAACAGTCGCACTCTAGTCAAACGTTGTAGCACAGTATTCTGTCATTTTAGTCCTCATAAACTTGTACGTACTGTTTTAAAAATCCCACGTCACCGTCAGCCACCGCGGACTGTTCGATCTCGTTGTTTGCGCCGTGTTTCCCTCGTTCAACTTCACTCGGACCTTCTACGCACTGATTGGACACCTGTGTTTTTAGCGTCCACCGTCACTGTCAAATGGAATGTTTTTACCGGCATTTTCTTACCGATTATTGACTACCATGCGCCCATGCGGACCGTGCGCATTAGGAACGTTCGTGCCCCCGCCGTTAGTGACGACACCCGTTCTCTGATGTCTCGCCGCCGCGCCGCGCTAGCCTCTCTCGGCCACAGCTCCAACGAGTACAAGGAGCTCAACCGCGCTGTACGTGCCGCTATTAGGAGTGACAGCTGTCACGATATCCAGCGCCGTCTACGCGAGGAGGGGAGTGGCTCTCTGTGGCAAGTTATTAGGCCAGCGGTCGAGAGTGGGAGAGCCGGGCACAGGCTGCCTGACGCCACGCCCGATCAGCTGAACAGTTTCTTTGTCGGCGTAGGTCCGCGTGTCGCCGGCGAGGTTAGAGATGCAGGGGAGACACCTGACCTGCCGTGCCGACTGCCACGTGTTGGAGCCTGTGCTTTTACCTTGACGACCTTGTCGCTGTCGGAGTTGAGGGCTGTCGTACTCGGCATGAGCGGCTCCGCCGCCCGCGGAGAGGATGGTATTTGCGCGCGCATGGTCCGCATGTCCTTTGACGCGATTGGCCCGGTGCTCCTGCATTTGGTCAATTCCAGCATCTCTCTATCGGATGTCCCTCAATCCTGGAAACATTCCCTCGTACACCCCATCCACAAAACCGGTGATCCTTCAGATCCATCAAATTTCCGGCCAATCTCTATCGTTCCTATTATATCCAAAATTGTAGAGAAAGCCGTACATCAACAGCTATACAGTTACCTATTCAACAACCATCTCCTCTCCCCCACTCAGCACGGTTTTCGGCCTCGTCACTCGACTGAAACCGCGCTGATATCCATATCCGATCACATCCTATCCGCTGCTACCGACCGTGGAGAGCTATCCCTTCTCTGCCTGCTGGATTTGAGCAAATGTTTTGATGTGATAGACCACGATAAATTATTGACTAAATTGCAGCTTCATGGTATTGATACAGCTTGGTTTTCGGCATATCTTCACGGCCACACCCAAAGTGTCAGCCTCACTGACGCTCTGGGTGGAAGAACTACTTCATCTCCG